GCCCTGTGCCCGTCCGCCTCCTCCTGCCAGGACAGGGCTTAGCCCCGCGCGCCCCACCTCCCAGGCCTCCCCTGACCACCTCGTCCTGCCCCATCGCAGGAGAATACTGGATCGACCCCAACCAAGGCTGCAACCTGGACGCCATCAAGGTCTTCTGCAACATGGAGACTGGTGAGACGTGCGTGTACCCCACTCAGCCCAGCGTGGCCCAGAAGAACTGGTACGTCAGCAAGAACCCCAAGGAGAAGAAGCACGTCTGGTTCGGCGAGAGCATGACCGGCGGGTCCCAGGTGCGTGAGCTGGACCCCGGAGCCACTCTCACAAGAGGGCTCAGAAGGGGAGTGGGGAAAGGTCCTGGGGGCTCTAGACCTCTGCTGAGTATGACAGACAGAGCCGGGCTGGGAAGCAGGGGCCGGGGCCAGCGACACTGGCTCAGACATAGAGTGCCCATGGGCAAGCGCAGCCACTCCTGCACATGGGTGGTCACAATGCTCTCCGAGGAGCCCAGCGGGGAGGCCAGGACTAGAGGCTCCAGGACAGTCACTCACTCTCTGCTCTCCCTGTCCCCTGCAGTTCGAGTATGGTGGCCAGGGCTCCGACCCTGCCGATGTGGCCATCCAGCTGACCTTCCTGCGCCTGATGTCCACCGAGGCCTCCCAGAACATCACCTACCACTGCAAGAACAGCGTGGCCTACATGGACCAGCAGACAGGCAACCTCAAGAAGTCCCTGCTCCTCCAGGGCTCCAACGAGATCGAGCTCCGGTCCGAGGGCAACAGCCGCTTCACCTACACTGTCACCTACGACGGCTGCACGGTGAGTCCCACCCCCGCGGGGCCCCCTCTCCGGGCTTTGACTTTGCAGGCAGGCCATAGTTGTCCTCATCTCACCTTTCCCACCTGGTGACACTCCTCTCCCATTGTCTCCCCTTCACCCCAGAGTCACACTGGAGCCTGGGGCAAGACAGTGATCGAGTACAAAACCACCAAGACCTCCCGTCTGCCCATCATCGATGTGGCCCCCTTGGACATTGGCGCCCCAGACCAGGAATTCGGCATCGACATTGGCCCTGTCTGCTTCCTGTAAACTCCCTCCACCCCAACCTGGCTCTCTCCCACCCAACCCAATCGCCCCTGACCCTGGAAACAGACAAACGACCCAAACTGAACCCCTCAAAAGCCAAAAATGGGAAACAATTTCACATGGACTTTGGAAAAATTTTTTTCCCTTTGCATTCATCTCTCAAACTTAGTTTTTATCTCTGACCAACTGAACATGACCAAAAACCAAAAACGCATTCAACCCTACCAAAACCAAAAACAGAATAAATAAATAACTTTTTAAAAAAGGAAGCTTGGTCCACTTGCTTGAAGACCCACGTGGGGATAAGTCCTTTTCTGCCCGTTGGGCTTATGATACCCCAACGCTGCCCTTTCTGCTCCTTTCTCCATGCCTGCGTGGGGCCTCCCCGCCACTGCTCCCCAAGTCTCAGTCTCCCTAAAAGACACAGGAATCCATGCATTGTCTGCCCAGCAACCAAAGGCAATGCTAGAACACCCGAGTGGCCTCCACTCCCAGCCCGCTTCCCTCACCCAGCACCCCCAAACCCTGGGGGGACCTGGGCTTCTCAGACTGCCAAAGAAGCTCTACCATCGGGCGTCCCCTGGCCCGGGCAACACACCCCTCTTCGTTTTTGAGGAGGGCTTGCCGGGGGACCACTGGCCCTTCATCGCCTGGTTTGGAGGAGAGTCAGGAGGGGCCACGACAGAGCAGAAACGTGTCGATCCCCGTGCAACAGGGCTGACGGGAGAGACTGCTCTGTTCCTTGTGTAACTGTGTTGCTGAAAGACTACCTCTAAATGTGTCACCAGGGCAACTGCGTGGGGGCGGGATGGGGGCAGGATGGAAGGGGCTCCCATTTTATATCAAAGGTGCTACATCTCTGTGATGGGGGGGGTGGCGAGGGGATCACTGGTGCTATAGAAGTCGAGACGCCCCCACCCCTACCACCAGGCCAGCAAATGTTCCTTTTTGTTCAAAGTCTTCTGAATTCTTTGTTTTTTTTTCTCTTGTGGATGGGGACTCATGTGAATTTTCTTAAGGTGCTATTTAACACGGGAGAGAGTGTGCCACTCACTCCTCGCCCTCTCTCCCCGCCACCCTCGCCTGCTCAGGCCTCTCTCTCAGACCTCTCTCCTCTGAAACCCCTCCTCCTCCGCCGCCTCCCATCCTCACCCCTCTTGGTCTGTCCTTCGTCTTTTCTCCTGGGTTTCAGAGCACAAATTTCCCAAAGCACAAAGCAGTTTTCCCCCTGGGGTGGGAGGAAGCAAGAGACTCTGTACCTATTTTGTATGTGTATAATAATTTGAGATGTTTTTAATTATTTTAATTGCTGGAATAAAGCATGTGGAAATGACCCAAACATATTTGTAGTGGCCTCCTAATTTCCTTCCTTGGAGTCCGGAGAAGGGAGACCTGGGGAGGGAGCCTTGGGGCGGTGGGAGGTAGGATCTCCTTCCTTTTCTTGGCCATTTGGTCGTCCACTGCCCCACCTAGCACCCTCCATGGTCCCTCTCCTTTCCTCTTGCCTTTCTTACACCTTAAACCACTTTCTTCCCTTTCTCATGCAATTTTCCATACACGTCTCTCCCAAGCCCTCTTCCCCCTTACAGTGCATGCAGGCAATCCACGCGTGCAGCAACACATACACACGCACACGCACACACACACACCTCCCTTCAGATCCTGGGCTGCCCAAACCTCGTGCCCACTCTCCCATCAAAGCCATCAATTCTGCTGCCCTCCCCACTGCTGTGGGCACTCTGCAGGGTTGGGGGACCTGGGAAGGCACTGCCCGTGGGGCCCTGGGAGGCCCTGGGTGAGGGAGGTGGGACTGGTGGGTGAGGACACCTGGAAGCCCTCAGCAAGGCTTCTCCCTGGACAAACAAGGAGGGTCATCGGGCCTCCTCCCTCCTTGCCCTCTCTGAGCTCTTCCAAAGGAGAAACAAGCAGTAGAGACAAGAAGGAGGACCCTGAGCCTGCGCTGAGGGCTGTGAGGAGACCTGGAGCAGGATGCCTCCTGCTCGAGATCCAGGGCTCCGGGGTAAGGAAGGAAGGAAGGAGTCTGCCCAGGGGCCCGGGAGATGCAGTCAAGGCATTTACAGGGTGCCACTTGGAAGGTGACAGGACTGACCCTGTTGAGCATGTACTGGATCCCTCTTGGCCTTCTAAGTCCTCGAAACATGGGACCCCCTGGGTGTGGGGCAGGCTGTGGGGTGGCCTGGAGAGGTCTTTTTGCCCAGCTCCTGCCCCTGCCTTCTCCTTCTCCTTTTAAAAATCCTTGCCTCTTTCTACTGCCTCTCCCCACCCCCGCCCCTTTTCCCTTCCCCTCTGTTGGCCCCCTCCCTGCCTGCCTGAGACCCTGAGGCCCCCAGGGGGAAGGTGACTGGTCAGCTCCCCACTCTCAGGGAAGGGGGACAGCAGTGTGCAGTCAGTGGGGACACAGAGGATCCAGAGAGTCAGAAGTCTGGTGCAGACCAGGTGCCTAGAGACCTGGAGACAGGGAGAAGTTGACAGTTGTCCCCACTTCCCACACCCCACCTCCCACCCAAGGTCTTAAGGCCTAAAGCTCAAAGGCAGGAAAGGCCCATGTTCCTCCCACAGGTCTCCAGAGACATGAAAAAGTCTGCAGTGCCATCCTCTGCAATCCTCAGGCCCCTGCTGTCATTAAGTAGTCATGGCGATTCATTAGGGCCTTGAATAATTCATCATTAGCACTTCTGCCTCAATCAGGACAGTGTAAAAGGGAATTAGTCTAGAGAGGGTGAGAAATCTTGGCAAGAAAAGGAAGGCTTATTCATATGCAAGTTACTTGGTGACCTAGTGACAGACCGATCAATTGGAAATCCTGCTGGCACCTCCCTCAGCAGCCCCCATCTATCTGGACTTCTGGCCCCTGGGACCCTTGGCCGTCTCACCCCTTCCCCACCTGCCTCCTGGGAGATCCAGAAGCATCACCCCAAGCCTGGTATCCAAGGCTCTACCTGGCCTCTATGTACCTGGGCATTCTCCCTGTCCCCTCCCTGCCCACACCTGTACACCAGCCAAAACGGGTGGTCAAAATTCCTGCATATGCACCCCACTTCCCACTTCCAGGCCTTTCTTTAGGCCTCTTGCTCTTCTGGAAGTGGCTTCCTTTATCTCTGCTTTTGCTCGCCCCTCCCCCCAGGCCATGCTCAAATGTCTCAAGTCCCCTCGTTCTCATGCCCAACCCAGGCTCAGTTTGCCCCCTCTGACTTTCCAGAGCCCTCCATGTCTACAAAATTCATCTTAGCCTTGATGCCGGACAGTGCTGTCGTTGTACGCTGTGCTGTTTTCACCAGGCCACGAGCAGCGGACTGAGGCCAGAGGCCAGGCGCCAAGGCCCGGGGCTGGCACAGAGGCTGGGCATGGATATTGGAAGACTAAAGAGAGAGGAGAGAGCAAGGAGGGCCTTCTAGCTGAGGGTGTGGAGCTGTGTGCACCTTCCTGAACATGAGTGGGCAAGTGTGAGAGGAAGAGCAAGCCAAGCACCCACAATTGGGAGCAGGCGGCGATGGAAGGCCCCAGGCTAGTGCTTTCTGCAACGACGGACGCGCACCCCATCCGGACCGTCCACACTGTGGCCATAGCAACGCGTGGCTGTGGAGCACTCGACATGTGGACAGAGCAGCTGAGCAACTCAATTTTAAATTGCATTTACCTGTAATTGACTTTAGTAGCTACTTGCAGCGACGCTGAATGTCAGGGCCGTGGTGGTGGCAGTGCCCCACCGTGCAGCTCCGTGCCTGCATCACGTGGTGTGAGGCCAGGCTGCGGTTTCAGTGTGTGCAGCACCGGAGAGGAGGGGGACAAAGGGACCATTGTCCCGCATTCCCAGCCCAAGCCCTCCTTCCTGCTGACATCACAGCTGCCCTAAATAGAGCCGCGCAGACCGCTCCCCCAGACCCTGCTGTCCCCCGCGTGGTGGCACAGCGCCCTCCTTCCCAATGCTGCTCCCAGGGACTCACCTCTGCTTCTCTGCCAGGAGATGGGCCACCTTCCTGTGGATGATTTTTCAGTCAGATCCAGATGGAAAATTCTAGAAAAGAAAGAGGCTTTGTTTGGATGTTTCATTTTTTCTGCTCTCTCAGCATCCTGGGTCCCTTCGGTGAGGTGAGCCCGTCTCCTGGCAGGATTTTCTATAGCTGAAATGTGGCGATTTTCCCTCCTTTTTGCCCCAGCTGCTCAGCCCTCAGCTTCCCAGGTGCCTCCAAGACTTTCCTGGACGGAGCCGGGTGAGGTTTAGAAAAGGGGAGCTTGGGAGGGGGCTTCCCAGCTGGAGTGTAGCAGCTTCAGGTGAGGGGCACGTGGAGTGTGTGGGACGGGGGGGGCGTGGGGCAGCTGAGACCCCCCAGGAGGTGGCTGCGTGGTGGCCCTGCGTGCGGGAGTGAGTGAGAGCATGCAGCCAGCCGTCCCCGTGTGGGTGAGAGTGAGTCTCACTCTTGGGTGCCCACCCCCCCTGAGCAATGCGGCTGTGTCCACAGGGGCCCTAGGTGCGTGCGGGTGTGTTGGGAATGGCTGAGGGGTGTGTGAGTGTGGGGACAGCTTTCCCACACGCACGGCCGCAGAAGAGACCCTGTATGCACGGAGCCCGCATAGGTCTAGCATTGGGGACGTGAATGCGTAGGTGTGACAGGGCATAGGAGGGTCTGCCTGTTGATGAGGAGGAACAGGGAGGAGTGTGGGGGAAATTAGGAGAGGCTGGGCATGGGGGAAGACCACCATCCTGAAGCCCTAGGGCCAGTGGATCGCTAGTGTCTCTGTGTCTCCTCCCTGGTGTGTGCCCCGGAGGGAACCAAGTAAGGCTGAGCGATGTCCAGGGACCAAGGGGCAAGAGCCTGGAAGAAGGCTGGCCTTTGTCTAGGAGGGCAATCGGACCATCGCACACTCGGAGACTTCCATGGTCTGCAGACGACGCACCTGGCAAGGCCCGAGGGAGGTGAGTTTGGTGCACGCGGGTGCTGGAAAAAGTGGGGTTTTCTTTGCGTAAGACAGTGGGAGGGAGAGAAAGATGGGATGGAGTGGTGAGGAAAGCACATTTTAGAACAGGGAGGCCACATAATCAAGTTGTAGGTGACTTCACCGCTGTGGGGAACCCCCTCCCGCTCCGCAAGGCTTTGGAAAACTGGTGCACACACAGAGGCCTGGTGTGAGCAAGTGTCCTGGAGGAAGCAAGGGGAGGGGCTGAGTTGTAGGTTTGGGTCAATTTGAAGTGGAGATAAAGGAAGAGCCATGAAACCCATGCTGCCCAATAAAAATATAATGCGAGCCATGTAAGTAATTATAATTTCCCAGCAGCCCTAATAAAACTATAAAAAGAAACAGGTGAAGTTAATTTTAATCATAGATTTTATTTAACCCAATATATCCCCCAATATTATCGTTTGCATTACATTTGCAGGCCATCTCAGTTTGGATGGGCCACATTTCAAATGCTCGGTGGCCGCAGGTGGCCAGCGGCTGCTCTATCAGACAGCCCAGCGCGGGGCAGCAGGAGCAGGAGGATTTCAGTCTCCACCCCAAACTCAAGGAAGAGCTTGAATTTGTCACAGGGTGCAGAATAGAAATTGAACCCACTTGACTTGGGCCTTAGGGGGTAGGGAGACCCCACGGACCTCTGGTTTTAGGGTGATCGTGTGAGGGCTTATGTGTAATAATGTCTCCATGTTCAGGAGCTGCCAGATGCCAGGCACTGGCCAGGCCCTCACAAATTCTCACATGGGCCAGAGGCAGCGATGATTAATGTCTAGGAGTAAAATATGTGTCAGAGCTGGAATTCGAGTCCTGCTCTATTTGACCCCAAACCCCACCAAATACACCAAGGCGCTCTCTGTGAGATGAAGTGTGTGTGTTTCAAGATAAAAGAGAAGGGTGCCTGTGAGGGCTGAGGCCAACCATGGGCGGTGCCCCACGTCGCCACGTCTGGCAGGATTCCTCCTCTCCAGTTGAGAGGCGGTGAGGAAACGTCTAGAGTCAGGCCACATGTGGGGGCTCTGTTCAGGATGAAGGTGGAGGCCACTCACTGGGTCCTGTGGGCAGTGCCAGCTGAGGGATTGCAGGAGCCAAGGGTGGAGCAAGGTGTGAGGTTGAGTCTCATGGTGGAGATGGGGGGACACTGTGGCTATTTGTCTTGGGCTGTGGAGGGAAGGGCAGGGAGGGGATGACTGCCCAATGGAATCTTACCCCTCAGTAAGTTGAGGGGTGCTGAGTGTACCTGTGCCCTGCCCTGTGCTGCCAGGGTGGCTGGGCTTGCGTGCGAGTTGACCAGGCACAGCCCAGTGTCCTATGCAGTCACGCCATCCTCCCAGCTACTTGTCTGGGCCACTTCCTCCCAGGCCGGCAGCCAGGCTCCCGTGTGCTTCTTGAGCAGGGAAGAGGCGCTGCCAAGATCCCAAGGCAGAGCAGGGAAGTGAGGGGCTGGCCTCGAACTCTTCCGATCCCAGCTGGCACAGAAAGAGGGCAGAGGCCCAAGGTGGGAGCACGGAGGGCAGCCCCCTCCTCAACGGGCAGGATTCAAGGAAGAGCTGCCCCAGGGCACTGGCCTGCTGCTTCAATCTGGGCAGACTCTGTGCAGCTCCTGGTTTGGGCCAGATGAGGGGCCCCGGGAAAAAGAGGAAATTTCCAATAAGAAGTCAGAGGCACCTGCTTGCCAGAGAGCCCATGTGCTTGGGGGTGGACACCCAAAGAACTGTTCAGTCAACAGATGCCTATTGAGCACACACGGTGCAGACACAGCCCCAGCCAGCCTCCGCAGATGCTTATGGGATTAGCTAACTAATGGCTATGGGATGCCCAGCAGGGAGGGGGCCAGAACACAATGATAGAAGCTTTAGCAATGGTTTTGCTCACCCTCTGCCCAGCGAGGAGCAACTCAGACCTTCATTCCTTCAGAACATCTTTCTAGAGTGCCTACTGTGTGCATGCACGCAGATTCCAACCCTCCTGGAGCTTAGGACCCCAACAAGGCGCCATATAGAGCAGCTCTTCTGCTCCAGAGGCTGGGCCAGAGAGGGCTCTCTCCAGAGGGGGACAGCCTGTCTGAGGATCTGACATTTGCAATGAGGAGGGAGTTGTGTGGACTGGGGGGACTCTGGGTTCCTGGCGGAGGGAACCGCAGAGTGTGTTAGGAGGCAGTGTGGCTGGAGCTGGCAAGTGAAGGGAGGGTGGGGTGCTGAGGGCAGAGAAGTGGACAGGTCCTGCACCAGCGCAGAGTTGAGAGCACAGGGCAAGACCCCCTGACTTTTTCTTTTAAAGGATGGGTCCAGCTGCTGTTGGAGATGAGACTGGCAAGGCAGGGAAGAGGCAGGGAAGACAAGGGGAGGCGGTTGCTGGGGTCCAGGAGCGAGATACTAACACAGGACTGGAAAGTGCAGGCCGTGAGAAGGGGAAGGATTCAGGACATATTTTGAAGGTAGGGATTCTGAGGAGTGAGACAAAAGAGAAGGGGGTCCAAGGACAATTTGGGGGCCCTTGTGACCCCCTTGCCTATCCATTTCTGAACACCGGGACACAGTATTCAGAGACTCAGCCCTCCTCAGGGATCCTTGGCCAGGAACCACCACCATCAGACCGGGGGCTCTTCCACTTGGTCACCTACCCCATTGGCCCCGAGGCAATGAGGGGCAGGGAGAGGCTGCCGAGAAGAAGGCACTGGCAGCAATAGATTGGCAGGGCTGCAGGTGTTTATTTTGGGGGTCCTGACCCCAGACACCCTCACCCCGCCCCACCTCCATCTCTCTGCTTGCTCCAAGCCTGGAGTCCATCAGACCAGGAACCAGAATCAGGAGGAAGGACGTGGCCCCGGGTGGTGGTTGCTCTGCGAGTTGGGGGAGAAGGGAAGACAGGGCCAAGGCTGGAGCTGGAACAGTGGAGGGAAGAGAGAGTGGGGCTGTAAGGTCCAGGCCCTGGTTCTCCTGCCTTCCCCACCCTGACACTCTGACCCCCAGTGCTTGGCATTGAGGGGCATAGCTCTGGCACTGCTAAGCAACCCCTCACTGCTGCCTCAGTGGGGTGGACAGGTCTGTGTGTCCCTCCTTTGACCTCCCCATCCCCCATCACCTGCCCCAGACTGGAGACAGAGGTCACCATGTTCCCAGAAATAAGGCTGGCGCTGCCCAGCTGGACCTACCTGGACGAGCTATCAGTGCTGGTCCAGGATGAGGGGCACCTGGGCGCTGTCCACTTGGGGAGGCAGCCGCTCGCCTGTGCGCACGTTGAACATGGGCAGGGTGGAGAGTGGCCTGGGTACCTCTCGGCTAGCTGCCATGTGGCGCAGCTCCTCTGTGTTCCCACGGATGGTGCAGTGGTGGACCATCTGGATGCTGGGGGCACAGGACCGCAGAGTCATAGGCTCTGGGAGTCAGTCTCCCAACTTTGGAGTTCAACCTGGCATTGCCTCTGAGCCACCCTACAGTCTTCCCTACCTGCTGTGTAGGGGAGACGCACACACAGGATGGGTGGAGGGAGGGCAAACAGGACGTTCTACGGGGCCAGCTCAGTGCCAGTGACTGAGGCATGGGCTCTGGGTGCAGACAGCTTGAATTCAAAGCTATATGTCCTTCACAAGTTGCTTAACCACTCTGTGTCTCAGTTTCCTCAACTGTAAAATGGGGCTAATGATAGAGCCTACCTCTTAGGATTGTTGTGGGACTAAATGAGTGTTTAGAAAGTGCCTGGCATGTGGTAAGAGCTCTCAAGATGCTAAGACATGAATAAATACCCACAGTGGATATATATTTCCAGGAGCCAGCATTTACTGGGCTTTATTTTCTCTTTTTATATTCTGATGACCCTCTAGGACCCTTCTAGGGCTCAGTTCCCTTCCCTAATACTCTCTCCCACCACTGAACACTCAATTCTCCTCCCCTCCCTATCCCTGCCTGAGTCTGGCAAACCTACACCTTCCACCTTTTCCCACCTTCTAGCTTTCGACCAAGCTCTTTCTCCATGTCCTGCCAGGCCAAGACCGGGTCATCTTTCGGTTCCTCAGACCTGTCCTCCTCTCCCTTTGTACCTTGACCCCTCCCCAGCCCACCCTAGCCATCACTGACTAGCTCCAGACACTGCTTCTTGTCTCCCTGTCTTTGTTTCAAACCAAGGCCCTCTGAGGTCTGTGCCGCTCCACCCCCAACAGGCCTGAGTGAGCAGATGGCCACACCCTTTGGGCAGTCCTTCTAGAGTCCTGGCTCCAGTTTCTCCTCAGAAGGCTCAGCCTCATTCTCGTTTGACGTTCCCATGGGCTTGCTTTCTGCTGTCCAGGGGCAAGCTTTAGTTCATTCTGAGAAGGTGGGCAGCACCATGGTTAAGCATGAAGACTTGCTTTGGGTTTGAATGCGAGTTCCACTGCTTACTGGCTGTGTGACCTTGTGCAAGTTACTTAACCTCTCTGTGCCACCATTTCTTCAACTGCAATGCAATTGTTGTATGAATTAAATGAGTTAATACAGGAAAAACACTTAGAATGTCTCCTGGTCAGCATGCAGCAAGTGGTAGCTATTACTATGGGAAGACTTCAGTTACTATTATTATCACTGGTGTTAGTTTCTTATGGTAAGTCCACTTGGCCTCCAGTGTAGGGAGGTCTGATGAACTTGGCCTTCAGAAAAGGGATGACTCTAATTCCTTCTATACAAACCCACCCATATTTATGGGGCCCAGTCTGGACACATTTCCCCAGACTACCTGGTTGCCAGGTCAGACAGACAGCCCAGACTTTTCATTACAAACAATAAGAATTGGTTTTCTTAAAGGAGTGGGTCCCCAGGTAGGCCTGAAGCAACCCTACCTGCCACTAGGTTATGGATCAACTGGGGGTGGACAAGTGGTCCCCATTCATGTCCAAGCCTGGATTAGGGCACAGACTCCAGCTAGAGCCTGACAGACTAGACTCCAGGAAGGATGGTCAGCTTCCTGCTGACTCGGCCACA